TTCCCTCGGGGTGGCTGGGAGCTCCCTGCTCCGCAGGACCTGCCATGGCAGATTTGGCTGGAAACAGCAGATTTAACGGGCGGTCACGTGCCCCAGCAGGGTGACTGTCATCTGACCGGGAGATGGGCCCTTCAGCACTGTGTCCCCTATGCATCGCCCCGTGCTGGACCTCGAGGACCAGCCTCTCAGGTCTGGGCACCCAGCACTGGCCTGATCTGTCTGACCCTGCATCCAGCAGCTCCTCTTGGGGGGGATCCAGACACCCCAAGTTTTGGTCACATCTGCGTCCCAGGCACGCCACCCCCTTCCTTCTCATCACCCATCCTTTGAGGCTGCAGCAATGTTAGAGATTTACCCCTCGAGAACAAAACCAGGGCGTTTTCCTCAGCCTGAGTATCCTTGCATGACACTTTTTAATCCCTAATTGATTTGCAAATACGTGTGGGCAATTCCCCCAAACCTAATGAATGGAGAGTTGTTCACATGCAGCTCCTTGTCTCTGCACATCCTGCTCCAAACTGGTTTCTGAAGCCTCCAGCAACTGCACCAGCTCAGCCCTGGGGTCCCCAAGCTGTGGCTGAGCACATGGTGCAGCCTGAGTTTCTCCTGGTCATCCTGGTTTCCCAGCCAGCCACCAGCTGCAGCAGGGATCCGGGTCCCAATCAAAAAGGTGACCCCAAATTTGTCATCGCTGCAAATTCAAAGGTTCCATGCACATCTGAAACTGCCAGGCCAGGCAGCGCCTGGAAACCTCAAGCATGAACTCAGGCTTTGTTGCTTTATTAAGAAGAGCTGTGCCAGATCCTGCTCAGCCGCAGCCAGATGAGACACGAGGCAGCCGGATTTGCAGCCCTTTATTTACTACAGGAGATCTGGAGACTAGTCATCACCATGCACGGGTCCGAGAAAGGATAAGGTGTTGCGGGGACAAATTATCCCACGGGTGATGCTCAGCATCCCTAGGCTGACAGGGCGAAGCCAACTCTGTTGTTGGCCATGTCAAAAATGGAGTAATACTGCCGGAGGAAGATGTTCCCGAGGATCCAGAGTGGCTGGCCGCTGGCAGAGGACACGTACGTGCTCTCAACCCCAACGGTGCAGATGCCGTTGTTCTGTCGGGGGAAAAGGAACAAATTTCAGTGCCGGTGAGGAGCGCGGGGGATTTGTGCTGCCTGTGCCTTCATGGCTGCTTTTGGCTGGGAGCAGGATCAGACCCTCCTTACAGTCACATACAGGCATGCAAAAGCACTGTGAAATAGGGAATATGGCACTCAGGCTGCTGGAAGCCTCTGTGTTTAAAAAACTCTGACTTTTTCCTAGGCAAAACTGCCCTATGATGGCAAGCACACATTGGGAATGATGGAAGCACACTTACGTTTAGGACATAGACGGAGGGAGGCAGCGGTAGCTGGGCTCCACTGATGGCAAAGTAGAGGGTGGGCATGCTCGGGACGTTGCTGCAGTCAACGGCAAACTGCAAAAGAAGCAAAGAGGGGCAGAGAGGTCAGGACCCCCAGGGCTGGGCACCATCCTTCCTCCGGCCGTAACCCCAGCCATGCTCCCTAAGGGTCAGCACAGCTCTAACTGTGGCAGGGCTGTGCTGACCTGGGTTGATCATGTTTGGAAGAATTCTTGTTGTTTTACATGACTGCAAAGGGAGATACACCACTGCAGTGTTGTTTCAGGGGAGATGTTTTGCTCCAGAGATGCCAGGAGCCCTCCATAGCTCAGCGTTACCACCCAGATGCATCCTCATCCCATGGCATCGGCCCCTCGTGTGCAGGGCACCCTTCCCACCTACCCCGTAGTCACTCTCCTCCGCACCCAGCGCCTGCAGGAAGGCTGAAATGAAATGTCCTGAGATGGGCCGAAAAAAAACCGCGCGGGGGCCCACAGGCCGGTGACGCCCTGGCCCCCCCCAGCCGGTGGCTGACGGACCGATGGAGAACCTGGAGAGAGCAGCAGAAAAGGCATCAGAAAAGGCATCAGAAAAGGCTCCCCCCACACCAAAACCCGCTCCGAGCCACAGTGCAGCACTTACTCCTCAATACTGATCTTCCAGTACAATTCCTGGACCACGGGAGCCCATAAAACCTCCCCGGAGTACAGCTGGGGGTCAAGCCCTCCGAGGATGACTTCCCCACCGTAATTATATGTTGGATTGCTGGGAAGACAAGAAATTAAATCCCAAATCAGGCAGGCTGCTCAGTCGAAAGGGGTGTAGCATACAGGTGCCTGGGGAGAACGCATGGAAGGAGAGTGAAGGAAGAAAAGGACGGATCCAGGCTGGGTCTGTGCAAGAGAGAGACCGACCGTCAGAGGTCTCACCGTGAGTAATAGAAGCTGAAGATGGGTTCGGCGAGCTGGCTCTGCTGCAGCATGTTCTGCATCAGCGTGTTGTAACCGCTGATGGCAATGCCCGGGTAAGCCATGCCCAAAATCCCATCGAAGTCCAGGTAGTAAAAGGGTCTGCTGGGCTCATCCAGGCTCAGGCCAAACTCCTGGTTCCTGACAAAGATGTTCTGGATCTAGAGGGAGAGGAAAGATGCTGGGAGATGTCGGCGTTTTGGACACCCCCCCTTGACAGCAACATCCCACCAGGGAGCTGCTGGGGAGAGGCAGGGCCGGCCAAGAGGGTCACGAAGGAAAATCTGCACTGAGAGGTGCTGAGCTCTTCCCCATCGCAGATGGGAGATGGAGTCAAGAGCAGCCTGGCTCATAGGCTTTGTCCCATCACCCTTATTATTTCATAAAAATACCCACAAAACCCGTTTGCCTCAGTTAAATTAGTTTAAGATCACACTTTCATGGCGTGCAAGTCTCACAACAGAACATTTCTTATGTCTTGTAGTGACAAAGCTCAGCCATCGGTGTAAAAAGCAAACACTTAGGGCCAAAGATATCCCTTAGCCCAAGGCAGTGATGAAAAGCCCAGAGGACTCGGACTGAGCCTGGCTGCAGACCCCAGCCTCCGAGCAAATTTATGCTGACCCGCCATAAACTCTACATGGGAGATTCAGGCACTGATACCCAAAATAAGAAGGTACTTTCAGCTACCCCCTACATTTTTCACCAGATTGGACTGATCACAACCACAGTCACTTCTTACCCTGGTCGCCCCAACACATCAGCAGTCACTTACTGTCACGGTGTCATAGCCTAACGTCACCGACAGGTCACCGAACCCGTAGCTCAGGGTGTAGTTCACACTGATGCCCGAGAAGGAGGACGACAGGCTGGGGTCGAACCTGTTGTGTTTTGCTGCATGGAGAGAAGGTCACAGCCCCTGGGTCACATCCTGCCCTTGGTTCAGCATCCCCACACAGGCAGAAATTCCCAGCAAGGGGCTTCCCAGGGAAGGGGCCATGCAAAACCAGCCCCACCGGTGTCACCCAGCAGAGCACAAATGCCAGACCCCATCAGCTCTCACTGATTTCCCTCTTGTAGCACCAGCCCATGGTGTGCAAGGGATGTCCAAGAGCACCGAGGGGGGGACACCCCTGTCCCCCACCACCCCAAGGGATGCTCACCGCAGGCTGGTGTCTGGCAGTAGGTGGAGGGCACCCACAGGTTGGAGGAACCGGTGTCGAAGAGCACCAGGAAATTTTGCGGGGGGGTCCCAATGCTGATCTCCCCAAAGTAGAAGGACTGTGAACAAGAGCGTGGGCAGATTTCTGTTTCCGCCTGGTTTTTTGAATGAGACTTTTCAGCTCTCTGCCCTCTGCTAGCCGAGAAACCCAAACCATTAAGGTGTTGTAGGAAGGGCTCGTAGTCCCTGAATTCATCCAGGGCAGCTAAAGCACAGAAAGGGGGAATGATTTGCCTATGACAAAATAAAGTCAGCGTCCAAGCCAGGAGTGGTAGATCTGCCCTATAACCATCGAACTCTGCTTTTTCTGAGAAGGGAAATCAGTTCAGGATGGGACGTGCTGCCTCCTGCCTTCGCCTCCCAACATCATCTGGCCCTCGGAGCCGGGCTACAAAGACAGCAAAACTCCTGCCCGTGCCCAGCACAGCCCCGTGACTTGTGAGCAGGGAGGGAGCCGAGCCACCCGCTGCAGAGCTTCCCATGGGCAGCCCGGAGAGGAGGAGGGCATCCCCAAAACCCAGAGCTGGGTGGCTCAGGGAAGGAAGGAAAAGCTTTAATACTTACATCCAGGTAGTTCGTTAGCGGTTCGTAAGCCACAGCATTACTGAGCTGGTATTTCCTACCGGGGTCCCCTTTGAGGAAACTCTCCAGCATCCCCTTCTCTCTCATCAACTCCCGCATGGACCTGCCTTTCCTCAGGGGGATCCTGCGTGGGATGGAGTTGGCGGCGAGATGCTGAGGGGCTGGGCAGCCCCATCCACGTGTGCACCCCCATGTGCCGAGGCTGAGCCCCGCTCCACAGCCAGACCCTGCACCCTCACACCCATCCCAGCCCTGGGGCTCACCTCACCATCCCCTCCCCGAGCTGGAGGCAGAGCAGGGCCAGCACCAGCCACCGCATGGTCCCCAGTCGTGGTGGCTCCACGGCAGCTCCTGCACGGCCTCGGCCGGGGCAGGGTGTATATAGGCAGGAGCTGTGCCCAGTCCCTGCTTCCGGACACCCCTTTCCCTATCACTGCACCCAACCCAACGCCAACGCTTGCAGTGCATTTATCACTGCAGTCGCTCTGATTTTGCTTCCTTACCTGGCTGTTCGGGTGCCAACAGATTGGCCGGTACCTCTGATACTGAGGCCAAATATGTGATACCTGATAAAAAGCAAAATTCTGTTGTTATCAAGAAGCTAAAGTGTTTTCTCTTGCCTTTAGCACCAGCTTGATCTTTCCAGAAAACAAAGGCAAAACACACCCTTTATAGCAAATGGAAATTTATGATGCTGGTGTTCCCCTTTTCACCCCTCCAGGCAGCCAAGAAAGCGCCGTGGGCCAGCAGTATTTCTTCCATCCAAGTCCGCAGGCTGCATTATGTCCAATTCCCTCAACACAGCTAGCAGGAGATGGCAGGGGTGGTTTTTCAGCCCAGCTCCAAGCCTCCCAGGAACCAGCACATACCCCCCAAAGTGTCTCTCTTCCCAGGCATTTGTCCTTTTGTCATCCTGCCCCTTCTACCCTCCAGCCCTGCTAGTGCCCCCTCAAAGCAGCTGAGATGGGAGCTAGAAACTGCTTGGTATGGCAGTCCTGAAAGATGTAACAACCACTTGACCATCTCCAAAAGGCACTTTGATTTGCTGCAGTTTATTATCCGAGTTATGCTGAGGATGCTCAGGTCACACCTCCGGTGCGTTAGAGGTGCTGCCTCCCATACGCTTTGGGTTTTGCTGGTCATACCTCGGCTGGAGAGGTGCAGGGGAATGTGCATTTAGGCATTCATTTGCAGGGGATTTTTAGTCCTGGGGGACCCTTTCCTCCCTGTGGGAGGATGCTACCAGCCAGCCCTGCCAGGTCACTGAGGACCCATCCTGGCATCTGGTACGCCAAGGATGCTGCTCCGCCTTGTAGTCCAAAGCCTGGGCACTCACCGCCTGCAGAATTTCTGCCACATGCTGCTGGGGAATGGCAGTTGTCCCCACGTCCCCATCAGCCTCATCTGTGCTGGCTGGTGGCCTCATCTCCCATGGAAAACCTGAGGAGACAAATGTGGAGTTGTTCTTCTGCACAAAGCTTTCAGCAAAGGGGGCTGGACCAAAAGCCCGAGGCTGCTCAGAGCCCTCTGCCTGGGGGACGTGGCGCTGGGCCAGCCCCACCTTAACCACGTGCTTTAACACAAATTGCTTCCAGCACCTGCTGGGGCTCTGCTTCCATTTCACTGGGACCAAACCCTTTGTCCAGATCTGAATTTGTCCCATGGGGGTCACTGACATACGCACCCCAGGGAGCGGGCAGCAGCAGGGCCAGCGCCGCTGCCCCCGGGGTCGGGCAGGAGCAGCCCCGCTGTCCTTTGCTGCAGGGTGCTTGCAGGCTCCCCAGTCCCTGCTAATGGTAGGGATGGACCCAGCAGAGCCTTGCTGCTCCTGCCCGAGCTGTCAGCGTTGGACTGGTGCTTGGAGGCTGCAGTGGCTCAGAAAAACGCTGGCACCCCCTCCTCCTCCTCCTCCATCGCAATCCTGGTGGATCTGCCTTTGCTCTGATGGATCCTGCAGGGAGCAAAAGGAAGAGCAAAGACCAGCAAGGACCTGGTCAGCCATCGCCTGTCCCCTCCTGCCACAGCAGCTTCAGCTCTTCGAAACCTCCCCATTTCGTAGGGGAGGATAAATGCCCTCCCCTGCTATCCACACCTATCTAAACTCCGTCTCGCTGCGCTCAGCCTGTGTCAATATTTTGACACAAAGCACAGAGGAGTTTGTGTCCTTTCTCTGGTGAAATGACAGAGCTATTAATATATCTGATAATGAGCTGCAATGATAAAGAGCTTCTAAGAAGCGAGTTTGGATCCCGGGAAAGAGCAGTGTTACGCGAGCCTCCCCCAGCCAAGATGCTCCCCGTCCCCTTCGGCCACAGGCGGTGATTCCCCATACTCCAGCTGTCACTTTACCTGACTGAATAGCCCCACTTCAGGATTTAGGAGTCATTTGGATGCCATGGCTAACCTAACCTGGCCTCATATTCACACTGACTTAATCGCAGGACTTCGTTAAACCTTATCCAGCTGCAGGGAAGATTAACAGCTTCCCACACGCGCCTCTGATGAGGTTTCCTGATGCCCAGCAGGAGGGACAGAGGTGGGGACCGAGAGCTCCAGCTTTATCCTCGGCTGGACGGAGCTATCATCTCAGCCCTGCAGCGGCAAGGGACAGGACAACATGTCCCCGTGGTCACTCCAAGGTCACCACAAACTGCAAGCAAAGCAATGCCCACAGCCACCAGCTAGCTCCGTATTTGCCTGCTGAGCATCTCCCTGAAGTGACTCGGTGCAGCCCGGCAGCAAGCGGTGGGTAGAGGAGGACGAAGCTAGGGACCCTCACGGCATGTCCAGACACGCACCAGCACCCAACGGCACAGAGCAGAACTGGCTTTTGGGGTAATCCCTCAGGAAACTCCTCTCACCGGGGCTGTGGTTGGTGTTTAAGACCAACCCCGGTGACTTTTTGCTGTCCCAATCCCCTGCACCGGAGCCTGGTGCATGGTGCTTCTCACTTGCAGAGAAAAACCCTTGCAGGAATCAGGTTTGGGATCCTCGTTCTGGGCTTGTCCCTCACGGAGGACAAGGGGGACAAGAAGCAGGGTGCAGGCAGGCCCAAAGGCAGCAGCTGGGATTTGGGGGAGGGCAGCTGCCTGCTTTCCAGTGCACCAAGTCTGCAGTGCCCAGCTGAGGGGCACAAGCCTTGCAGAGGGGATGGGGCTGGGCTGGGCTGGGGGACATCTTCATACCCCAGGGCTCAGAAGCTGGGCTTCACCTTCTGCAGGAGCTACTCTGGGCACCAGCGTGGGGAAGGACTTGGTCGCTGCCATCCCTGTGCCCATCGGGCTGTGAGCTGAGCTGCAGCTCGGAGCCTGCTGCGTTCATCAGAGCCGCTCCCACGCTCAGTAATTCGCTATAGATAAAGGCTGAGGCTCAGCCCCACAGCCGTTAGGAGTCAACAGCACGTCATACCCCTTTGCAAGAAACATAAGCACATCGACTTTAGATTTGAAGCCGCCCAGGGAGAGCTTCCCCACCACTTTCCCCGTGCTAACTCTGCAGAGTCTGCCCAGGAGTTTATCACTGCGCTTACCTTGCTGGAGAAGGAGCGGCTGAGACAGAAAACCCATCACTCATCACCGTGCTGGGGTTGGCTGGGGTAGAGTTAATTTTCTGCACAGCAGCTGGTACGGGGCTGTGTTTTGGATTTGTGCTGGAAGCAGCGTGGTTAACCCCGGGATGGGTTCG